TGGTCAAATCTTCATCTGCCAAACTCATGCGCATTTCCTGTTTGGTACCTTACTGGCTTGTTTTGTTTGTATGACCGCCATTGCGGAAAACAACTCATGAAGATGGACCAGCTAGAAGAGCGAGGTGTGTGACAACGCTGGGACACTTTTTTTCACCTTGATCCCCACCCTTTTTCGCCCACCGTTGTTGGACAAACACCCCCCACTTCCTCGCCGCCTAGGCCGTATCCTGACCCACAGCTAGTTCGTGATTGTGCCTCTTGCATTTTGGCGTGGAATAACAGCACAGACCGCACTTCAATATTTAGCATAAATCAAAAATATTTGCAACAAACTCACTACGGCACACTGCTGCGGGGAGGATAACCAGTCCTTAAGGGGAGAGTGACATGAGGAAAAGAAAAAACAAAATGTAAATACAATCTATCTATATATATATATATCTATCTTCCTTTCTTTTTTCTCTCTCCTCATCTTTCATTCTTACACTATTCTAAAACAGAGACATTAATCAAAATCACTTCCAAAACCGGAATGTACACCAGGAAAACATTATCTAATCTAATTAAATACTAAAAATGCTAATTAATATTTATTTTGGATAATATTTGGAGCTAGAAGCAAAAACATCATAAGAAAGGAACATTAGATAGGTAGTTGTCACTTACTCCATAATTTTCTGATCATGCAGATCGTGTCTGAGTTTTCCTGTAACTGACTCCTGTTTTTCATGAGAAATGTTCTGGTATCCAAACTGCGGGGTAGAAAAGCACACCTATGACCATAAATCACTACCAAACATAAGAAAACTATCTTATAATAGCTAACTTTGTTAAATATAAACTCAATGTCACCAATCAGTTTTAAAACATCTTTAGATGAACCCTTGTTTGAAACCTTGAGAACCACTGGACCAGATTGTGAAATGTCTTTCTTCTTTTTATTAAATATTTCTTAAACTGGACATGAAGATGAACAAATCGATGAACACACTCACCATAACACAGGGCAGCTCTCCATCAAGTGTGTTGGGATGTGATAACAAACTTCTGCTTTTACTTTATCTGTTTAAAAAGTGGTGCGCCCTTTTTCTTCTTTGTTTTAATGGCAGCTGAGATCCATAAGGATAATTACAGTCCAACAAGCGGCGCACTCTTTTATTCATCCTTATGTTAACAGCAGCGCAAAATGCTACCGTAACAGCTGCTTCTGCCCGCGACATGCTCATGCGCTTTTTTACCGTAATAACAGTCTACACGCAACATTTCCCCCCTCATTCATAAAACAGTCAAATCAGGGACAATTCCAGGGACAGGTTTAGCCGGTGACAGGCGGTCCAAAAGGAGGACTGTCTCCAGTAATTTGGGACATCTGTTCACCACATAGTGTTGGTGTGTGACTGAAATGTTGCACAATTCGGAGTATACATGCTTAAAAAATATTTAAGATTGTTTGTGTAGAGAAAGTGACAACTCCATTATCCTAAATATATCAAACCAATGTCCAACACAAAGTTTGGCTATTTACAAAAGTCTTAAAATACGTATACAATGAAGATACATTTTGTATTCTCACCCAACTGAGCCCACTATTAATGTATGTTTAACCATGTCAGTTTGAAAAGCGAAATACAATCTAATAACAAACTATACTTTATGTTTTTCCTCTCCCAGTAATGTTTCTCTGCGACATCCTCTACTGTGGAGACTAAAGCAAGAAGATATTTGTAAAATCTGTTTAAAACCTTGGGCTATTATCTTGCAATGATTTGGTTTTTGTATCAGCTTTAAAATGTTCCATACTCAGCAGTTCTTGGTTACAGGCAACAAAAAGTGTTGGTTTCATATCTAATATCCAGATGTCCCAAGGCTACTGTAGAAATAAAAGTTTTTCACTTCGGCCTCAAAATTGTTTGAATAATCTTTAATAGCTATTGCAGATTTTTATTCAAAAGTTTTATTCTCATCAATTATATGGACTAAAAGATAAATAGCAGCAGTGAAACTATACAATATTGATGTTGTTTCAATCTCCTGCTTGAGCAAGGTCACCAACTATATATATAAAAATGCCACCTCTAAGTACAGTTCAAATTGCTTCCTCACAGTGTTTCTCTCACAGTGGCAGTTTTTTTTCAAGCTGTTAGAAGCACAGACTGATCTTGAATCAGGTGACTTAACGTCATCTCCAAATGGGGTAGGTGTCAGGGTTACATCTGCTCCTGTTGTGCCCTTACTGCTGCCATCTGCCATCACAAGTCAGCTTGTAGGCCATTGTTCACATGCTCCTTATCTGAACGACCTCCGTACTAGATTTACAGTAACACAGATTTTATCTTAATGAAAAACAAACCTTGGTAAATGCTGGAAATCTGTTACAGTGGGTCTGCAGCAGATATTTTTAGTTCTGCTAAAGTAAGCAGAGTACTTCATATCTGCTAACATTGCTATGTTATAGCTGGCATGAAGTGATTTGAAGCATGAGGTGAGTTGATGCGGGGTTTTTTTTACACTCCATTTTTAGATTTAAGCCTCAGCGCATGTCTTGATGCTGATGATGGAAACGTTTTTTTAATCGATATATATATATATATATATATATATATATATATATATACACTAAAGGTTCAGAGTTCACACAGCAGCAGCTGCTAAAATGGCAGTGGGTGATTGTTTACCACATATAATGTGGTAGAATGTAATTCAACTTCAGCTGCAATTCAATTTTAAATCCCTTCTCCTGCATTATTAAGTATAGAAAATATACTGTATATAACAACAAAACAATGCATCCTTTTATAGTTTATAGAAAGACTCATTACTTTTATGTTAATCTGTACTTTGGATCAGTTAGAGACCAAATTATTTATTTTGCGGAACGCCATCTGTTCTTTAAATAAACAGCTTGATGTAATTTAATTTTTTAAACTGTTATTTTGGGTTAACTAGGCTCAAGCCAGATTTATACCTGTAGTTCATTTTGAATTCTACACAGTTTCCATCTGGAAAGGCTCCTGCGGAAAGTGTTTGCAACATAGAGGGACATTCAGTTCAATTCTATGAGCTGATTCGATAAGTCATTAAGTGGCACCTGCCCCCCGATGTCCTACTTTTAGCTAATTGTAACACATTATTCATTTGTTTTACAACTAGCGGAGTTAACAGATTAGTCAAACTTTTACCGAATCCGGTAGGCAGGAACGGGAAAATATCTTTCTCACCAACAAAGGAAAAAATCTTGTCCTTTTGCTCGTTTTTCAAAAACAAATGGAGGGTATGCCAGTTGAAACCAGTGCAGCCATGATTGTTTAGTTTCACCCTTTAGTATCTGGTTGATATGTTGAGGTAATACTTAATTGTAGGGTCAATTTTGAGTATCCTTTTCCAAGATTCCAACAATACTTGACTTGAATTTGTCCATTTCCCCCTTAAGGAGCCGGTGGAACTAGATCACGGTTGTTGGCTGCCTTGCCAATGTATTATTATTATTTAAGCTCCCTAAATTCTTAAAAGAAAGATCTGGAGTCCTGATGATGACCTAAAATTTGGCGCTGTTTGTGTTTTTTTTTTCTTTTTTTTTTTTTTTGCTTGTTTAGAATTAGGGTAATTTTTTACTTAGATGTCCATTTATCAGCATTCAGTTTGATTTTGCTTTACTATTTCTGTATTGTCTTCTTCTCTAATACTGCCATCTCACTCACAGATAAACTCAACCACTTTTCACATGCCTGTCATGATGAGCAATAGTTACCTCATTCATCAGGATCAGGTATTGCTAAGACACAGGTTCATACTCCTACATTCCACATAATGCAACGTGAGAGCCCCCTGAGGAGTTTGCAAGTCAGGGAAACGTGAGTCCAGATTTTGTGAAAGAGTATGAATTAGTTTGGAAGCAATTTTGATTTGAGACAAATGTTTGTAATGTGCCCCTTAACCTGGACAAGCCTGTAGCAACTAAAAGCGTTAGTACAAAAAACTTCAGGCTACACCTAAACACGTTCACCCTTTGCAGTTTTTCCCGGCTAAGAAAAAAAAACAGCCAGCGGGGGGGCGTTCTCCACGACAATCCACAATCACTGAAGTATTTAATCGCTAAATCACTAAACTTGATCTCTAAAGAGAGGCTTGCCTTTATTTTAGTTGAAGAGCTGGAATTTGTTGCAAGCGTTTTACGCCCATTATGAATTTTTATCAGGATGTCACAATACAAATGCTGCAGCTTCCAAATAGAACCACTAATCCATAATTATTTCCAAGATATTTTTAAATACTATTCTGGCTCTTGATCAGAAGCAATTTTGGTCAAATCAGGAGAAATATATACAGGGTTAATGTCATACAGTGAAGGGGAGATGTTTCTTTTACATACAGTGAATGGTCAATACCTGGTTTACCATCAGTAAACAGTATACAGCATCTATGTGACTATCTACAATATAAAAGATACAATAATCTATATACAATATATAGTATATAGCTATATACTATATACACTGTAGATTGTGTGTTGATGTAATGCAGTTTGTCTAGAGATGCTACGTTGGTGTAGCTTGTAGGTCCTGAACAATGGAAGGAGAGAGGCAAACTCCAATAATACCAATATTAACCTAATAGAATATCAGCATTAATCATACATACTTTTATTGCTCATTTCATAATGTGGAATGATAGAAAAACATCACGTATGAGTATAGCTGACCCATTTTTTTAAGAGTTACATAAACTTTAAACAAAAGTGGATACAAGGAAAGTGTCTCTGAGTTTTCTATTATCGGAGATTTTGGAGGCTGATCTGTTCCAATGTTACATTTTTTTGTCTGATATCGGACCTATTTTCAACATATATTGGATTTGGAAACCCCTAGCAGAAAGTGCACTAAGGTGTTGAGTGGAAAGGACTCCGTTTTCTGGCTTACTGCTTCTGTTTTTAATGCAACACTTTCTAAACCTGTTTTAAAACAATGTTGTTTCTTTGTTTTATATTTTGACATCTTCTAGGGATTCAGAGGGCCGCAAGCTCTGTAAGAAAGTGAAGGTGGACCCCAGCTCCAAGCACGAGGGAGCAGAGCTGCTGCATTACAAGTGAGTCACTAGACACTCAGCTGGATGTCAGACACCTCTTCACACATCGGCGCATTTTGGGAAGTAATGTCACTTTTGCAGCTAAAGCAAATACATCATTCACCACTTACTTCTGGTGCCGTGTGTGTTTTCCAGAGATGGGACATTCCACACAGAGTACAACAGACCTGCTACAGTTAAGGTTTGGCTTCCCATGTTTTATTTTTTTGCATTCACACACATTGTTTGATTATTATTGAACAATAGCTTAGTTTAGAGGTGAACTTTACAGACTCTAGAATATTCTATTGGCTGAAAGAACAACCAACTGAAAGAAGTAAATTAGCCAAAGTTGACTAAATGCTTTTTGCATTTAAGATATAGATCCTTCTTTGTCAGTAACTCCTTAACTGTCATAGCTCAAATTCTCTAGAAAATCCTCTTGTAAAACAGATTTTAGCTACCTGATTATAGAAAATACAAAGCGATCAAATATTAAATCATATTATTTAAGCGTGACCCTGTCAGAGATCATAGACCTGAAGTGGCCATCTATCCACATTCTGCTTCCAGTGTCATAGAGCTGGAGTTATAGCTCAATATTTTTGGGGATAAATGTCCTATTTAGCCATCGAAGTCTGATAGATGCGTACACTAAAGGACTGGCAGCTGTAATTAAAGGGAAAGCTTTTTTTTAACTATTAATATTGCTGCAGTTCTTGTTTTGGCCACAGGTGGCAGTATAATTAGAAAACTCTGTAATGACTCTTTAAGCTTAATTGACCAGGACTGATTAGTGTCAAAAACTGACATCTTCTGTGCTTTTGAAGCTATGAAGTAATAATTGTAAATTACTGTTCATCAGCATTTAAATGTCACAACAATCTAAATTGTTAATATAAATCGTAAACAACTAGAATAGATCCTCGAGACACACTCTTTAGAACAGGGAATGATGAATAATTGCCTCAAGTTTAGTTTTTGTCTGTTTTTTTTTTTGTTATTTTACTGTTGAAATATGTAACTATTTTACCTATTCCGTGATATGACACTTTTAGCGTCTCTTTCGGATAAGATCTCAAAGCAGAAGTTTAGTTTTTATCAACACAGAATATCAGGAAGTTTTAGCAACTGAGCCTTTTGTGACTTATTGGTTTTCTCCAAATACCCAACCTCTCATTTTATATCATTATGATATAGTGGGGCTGATAAGATAATCAGATTTAACATCTGTGTTTTTCTGACAGGAATATTTCCTCCTGACTCGTTAGACATACAGCAAACATCACAGCTTTATGACCAGACACACATTCCCAAATAGATACCTACTGTAAGCATTTTAACCCACAGCATCCCCTTGATCACATTTAAAATGGAAATATAAATCAAAATAAATAAATAATTTTAAAATAAATAAATATAAATCAGCACTGGTAACATTTTTGTCCATGACACGACTTTGTTAGTAGCGTAGCTCTCGGTTTGAAGAGAAGGATTGATTCTGACTCTTTTTTTCTTCTCTTTTATCAGTCTATGGTAGCGTTCCTGAAGGACCCATCAGGGCCGCCTCTGTGGGAAGAAAACCCCGAAGCAAAAGATGTCGTCCACATCGAAACAGAGAAAGTAAGTAATGACCTTAACAAAGTTTAAAGTTAGCCTTTTATTTTTTTTTAAAGCAGCATATGTTAAAGAGTTTGAGAACATTAATGCTGATCTGCGGTCGCTGTGATCAGAAGGAGACTCCCGCCGAGCAGCCGATGCAGTGGTTCAAGTTTTTGAAGATGTATGCTTTTCAAGCCTACAGGATACCGCTTTCACCTCTGCAACACAAAAGTTATTTCTTGGATGTTAGTCTTCAAAAAGCTGCTCAGTCCTAACCTTATGAGGATGAAAACATTGCCAGGCAGCTCTTCACCTGCCCAATCTGATGGCTATACCATCAGAATCTTCATAGTGTTATTAGACACTACCTATAATCTCAGAGTCCTCACATCCACTGTTGATCCAGCTTGGTGAAAGCTGATTAATGACCAGCTAATCTGACAGTTGCTTCTTAAATAAAGTGAAGTGATGTTCTGGAAGTTGCTGAGGTGATCAAAGCGATGATGAGGAGACGTAGCTTCTGTTAAGGTTAACAGATGTTCTTCAAAATCTGAAAGACTTCATTTAGCTGTTGATGTGGTGATGTGGACATGTCTAATAGAGGACTGAATGGCAAACATGATGTTTATTCGTGTGATTCCGTAAAAGTTTTAAAAAAACAATCCACTGGACTTGGTTTCCAAGATTTGAAGACGTTTCGCTACCTCTCCAGGAAGCTTTCCCAATTCTTCCTGGAGTTGATAAAGCTTCGTGGAGAGGTAGCGAAATGTCTTCAAATCTTAGAAACCAAGTCCAGTGGATTGTTGTTGTTTTTTTTTTTACTTTTACGGAAAGACTATGACCTGGTTGACTGAGAATCTTCATCAGCTTTATTCATGTTTTTTTTTTATGCCCGTCTTTTTTCTATTCTGTTTAAGCCCACAGTGTAGAGAATTTTATTCAGTTTCCAAAATTGGTTGAAGCCAATTCATTTTTCTCTCTGATTAAAAAAAACAATAAAAAGAATATTATAAAAGCTTTCCAAATATTATTTTTTTATCCTTTCTGCCCTAATTGGTAATGAGATATTTTTAAAGGAACAAATGTTGTCACACTTTGTTTAAGAGTTAAGTGGTCATAAAACGCCATTTTAAAACGAGAAGAAAATGATAAGTAAGTTTATATTTAAAGATGTCTTCAACATGGTAAACTAGTAACCAGGGGTTAATGTTACCTAAACAGTTTTCAGCTTACCAACCATGCATTTAAAACACTACAGCGAAATATCGGGATTGCAGAAAAGTGCTAATTGTTTGATATAAGTTTATTAATAATAAACTTATATCAAATAAAATAAAACATTTTTAAATAAAGTTAATTATCTTCCCCAAAAAGATGCAAGGGGGTATTCAATATGTCTAGAAGTATTTATAATCTCTGAAAGGTTACTAAGGCTGCACTCTGTGCCGCCTTCCTGTTATCTAACGAAAATGTTGCTCTCTTTTAACGTAACTTGAACTAATATAAAGGCATGATGACTCATCTAAGATTGTAATTTTTTTTTTTTAAGATTTTCACATCTCTTCTTCCTTTTAATCAGCCTTTTCAGCTGCTTATTGGTTCTGGTGTTAGCTAGCCCTCTTTCCTTAATGATAACTTCCACACCAAAGAGTGTTACACTACAGAGCTCTTACATATTGATTTTCACTTCTGGAAAAAATATTAAATGTTTATTTCTTTCAGCGATCTGTCACTGATCTACTTGTGATCATGAACTTGTTCGCAATGCAAACCTGCTGCTGTTCTTTCTACATGTGTTTCATTTGCAGACCTTTAAGTTTCTTCTTTATGTTTCTCTTTTAAGGACTTCAGGAAGCTACTGAAGAAGGAGGAGAGGCCTGTTCTCATGATGTTCTATGCTCCCTGTGAGTCGTTCTATTGCTGTTATTAGTTATTCATATTAGCGGATGTTCATTTTGTTCAGTGTGATGGGATGACGGTGTGCCAGGGGGTTTGGAATAGAGCAATGTTTCTTTTGCTTTTAACATTGACCTTTTAGTTGTTTTTCCGGATTCTCCAGTTTTTGGAGAAGGTTATAGAAAAAAACAAAACTGTTCAAAGCTCACGGTGAGACAGAAATGATTGCTTCAAGGCACAAAACTGCATGAAACAAAGGAAGACAAAATAGCACCAGGATGTCACAGCTCTGCCCTGATTGCTAGAGTCTCTCAGCAGTTTAAATAGGCAAAGATCACGGGACCAAATTTAATACTAGAGTGCAGGCAATATCTATTATTGCACCCGGAAGATGCTTCAAAATAAATTCAGCTTTTATTGCAGTAATCCAATCTCACAGTTAAAGGTTAAAAAAACAACTTTAATTTGGTTTATTTACTGAGTAAATAATTGTTTTTAAAAAAGTTTCCTTTTGGTAAAATTATTGGTATCCCTCTTGAATTATTTCTGTGCATTATCTCTCCCTTCGCTTCTTCTCCTTTTACATTTTGTAAAGTAATATCAACCAGAGAAATGTCTTTCAGAGCAGTCCATTTAACGCCATCTCACTAGACTGTCCAGAATCCTTTTACACTGAGATGGCCATGAGGAAAGGTGGATTTTTATCATGTAAAGCGTGTCTTTTTTTACCATTTTGTTTTAGATTTTTACTCTGCAGAAAGTTAAAATTATTTTCTTATTCCAGTTTGACTGCAAAATCCACCAGATTTTTATTGTAATCTACTGATATCCCAAAGAGTTCATGAGACCAAGGACATTAACTCTAGAAAGCAAAGTTCACCAGATTGAGGCCTTTTTTTTTTAAACTTAAAGAAAACCAATGTGTGTAAACGAATAACACTGAAATACTTCATGTATAACAAATTATAGCAATTAAAACTCCTTTATTTAAATTGATATTTTTTACCTTAGCTGCAAAAACTTAATGGCATCCATCTGTTGCTGCAGCCCTGGTTTGGGAGTTCTTGCAGCTTCTTCTTCACGCACATTTTTGGCAAAACTTTTTTCTTATTTGGTATCTTATAAGCTTTTGTGCAACTGCTTACATGTGTGATTTGGGTGTGGCTACTAAACTAAACTAAACTACAATAAACTAAACAGACTTTTCAGGAATTCTGCAAAGGACTTATTGCGAAGATAAGATGTCCTGGTACAGGAAAAAAATTCACATTTGACATCTTGGATAAAAGGAAAAAAAAACTTTAATTGTAGAACATCTGCAGGCCTTCTAGCCAATCCCACCTGGGATGTCCTGTTCCTTTAAATCTTTATCTCATCAGGAGGAAGCAAACATTTCAAAATCCCAGTAGAGTTTAGCAGACTCCACATGTTTACACGGGTCATGGCGGCACAGAGATGGCTTCTCCCCAGAATCACTGGCAAACATCTAATCAGATTGTTTCCAATTGTTGTTTTAAGCCATCTAAGATGTCACAGAGATCTCCCCCCCTATCACATTGATGCATTATATTAGGCGGTGTGGAAGTCATTCAGTCAGAAAACATTGAAATGATCCCTTATGACTTCCAATGGGTTTTCCATGCATTAAAACATATTGTTATGGATTTTTGTACATTATATTTTTTTATATCTAATAATTATTACAATCACAAATTTTATAGTTGATTGAAAACCTAAATGTGTAAATTAATCTTTTATTTGTGATGTTCTTTGTTTTTTTGTTTTTTTTTGCAGGGTGTGGAGTTTGCAAGAGAATGCAGCCTGTTTTTCAGCAAGCAGCCACAGAAACAAAAGGCAAATATGTAAGTGTCCTACCTGTCCTCCATTATCGTAAATCCCATCCCCTTTCTTTATTTCTTCTGCAGATAGTAAGAGACTAATTATGTATGCAAATGTTCAGATTCTCCTGCCAGCCTTAAATGAAGAATGTCTTGTTGTTTTTTTAAAGTCTCCTCGAAATATTCTCCATGGGATTCGATTTTCATTCATTCATTTTTCCGTACCATGAGTTCCAACCTCAGTCAAAAGTATTGATGACTGTCCAAAAGATAAACGTGCAATAACTGAAATAAAGACTCTTTTACCGAATCGTTTAATTTGATAACTTAATTTAGATAATTTTATGTTTTCCATCTTCAATTAAAAAAAAACATAACTATGTTGCCTGGAAGGTAGTAAGGAATAAAAAAAAAATTAAAAAATCACATTATAAACCTTTATTTATAAAACTGGAGCTCCTCTGAGTAACTCCCTTATAATCACATTTTAACTTCATGAATTGGTAACAAAATACAGAACAAAAATTATAGTTTTACTTTGTTTTCATCAAGACACCTGAGCTGCATTGATGAGCTCCGATAGCTCAGTGTGAAAAACAGCCGATCCCAGGCTGTTCTCTACATCCAGTCTGTTCCTCTGCTTGGTTTGGATGTGTGTCACAGCTGAAGGTGAACTCAAACATATAAGAAAAACTTACTGTTTGGTTGATAAAAGCTTGTTTAATTTTTCAATTGGGTCATCCCAAAGCAAAAAGATTTTATTTTCCTACCAAAAAAAAATAATATATATTCATGAACCCCTTGCAATGCACTCGCGCACCACTAGGGGTACACATACCTCTGGTTGGGGATCACTGCTCTAGACCTTAATCCAGTGTATAATTCAGTTTTAAAGCTTGAAAATGTACGTTGACAGAGTTTACGGTATAATTGACCTAGAGCAAAGAATAGTTGGCAAACATTTTAGACCACAGGGGCCTGAAAAAAGGTGAAAACGTGTCTGTACAAGCAGAGCAGATCTCTCAAAGAAGCTACAAAGTGATTTCCATTTACAATTCAGCAGGCGGTTTGTGAAAACCTTTTTTGTGTTTTACCTTCATCAATATACAGATCTTATTCAAATGACCAAAAATTCCGGGATGGAGGATATGCAAGTATAAACATTTAACACGTCAACACCGATTTATTTTTAATTTTTTTACTCTGAAAATCAACTGAGGCTACAGTTTTTTAGTACTCCTAAAATTCAGGTGCAAAACTCACAAAAATATCTGTGGTTATTGTTTCCACAAAGGAGACTTTGGTACAAAGCCAAACGATGGAGAGAGATTCCCTGCACGTGAAAACACATTTTGCACCATCAATAGTAACGATAATAAAATGATGATAGTAAAGAAAAACATCTGCACACAAATTAATGCAATGGCATGGTTTAATGCAATTTAATCAAAAGAAAAAATGAAGTAATGCTTTATACGTTGGTACCTGATTTAAGACATGCAAACCTTTGTCAGGGGAGGGGGTGTCAATGAAGAAAAATAACCTATGTTTTTAATTTACATTTTTACATTGAACCTCACCTAATTTTATCATTCCATTTTTTATGTATGACATTAGCACTTCGAGATAGGCTGCCTCTGTAAAGTGCTGTTTAAGTATTGTTTATTATAACAATCCTTATTTTTTTAGATAATTTTTGTTGTTATTACTTAGACGGAATTTATTGTCATTTTGTACACACAGAGTGTATACAAAAAGAAATTTTGTTCACTACAGCTCTCAAAGCATTTTACATCTTTTAAGTGCAGCATTGATAAGATATAAACATGGTGATCAAATGTAAACACAAGACTGGTATATAATACTGTTTCCAACATGCAGGGCAAATCTCACAAGAAGCTGTTATGTTCTGGAATAACTTCCAACTACATGGCTTAGAACCTCGTCTTTCTTTTAAAACCGCTCTGAACTACCTGTAGAAGAAACCGAGGGGGTTTGCATTGCATAACATTTGTGCACCAATCTTTGTAGATCAGCCGTAACATGACCATTTGCATGTATAAATTAGTGCTTCTTATTTGAGATCTTTGAAGATCAGACCCAGAGACAAAACCAAGAAGATCCGCAGCTGTAAATGCAGCATGAGGTTTTCAACACAATATTCTCAGGAAACCAAATACAGATGCATGCTGCACTTTTTTTTAGAGTTTCGCTTTCAAAACATTTTATAAAAAGCTGTTCATCTTTACTCCACACTTGTTTGCTCTTCTGTGTGAATATATCAAATACAACCTTGAGAAATTGAGCTTTATGATTGTAGAAGAACAGAATGTCTTATCTTAAAGGGGAATGAATAATTGTTGCAAGACAATGCGTACAGTTAGAAAATAAACCGAGGTCCGTTTCATCTTTATTTGCAAAATACTCTGAAAACAAAAGTCTTCCAGGTTCAGTTTAAAAGATATATAAAGATAAACTGCGTATTAAACCAGCTCGTCCCTTCCTTCTCAGGTCCCCCATCCCCCCCGTAGTGAAGATTATGGATGTATCTATCTACGTTCTACATCACTGATCAGACGTCCCCTAAGAGACTCATGACTAATGCTTAGTGTTTATAAATCTCTAACATTCGGAAGAAAAAACAAAACAAATTATCCCGCATTATGAGGGAAGTGGCATAGATAGATTCTCAGAGTTCTTCTGTCACTGCAAGCGACATCTTTGTTGCTTTGAAGTGAACAGTGAGTGAGTGATCTTATTTTGGCCTTAGTAAAGGAGAAGAAAAACTGCATGCATCATCTAATGTTTTAGATTTAGTCAAACTGAAAGAGAGAGAGAGAAAAAATCGAAAACATAAAGAAGTGTTTTATATCTAGTAATTAGTTTATCTTAAGTTTTCTCCTAATTGCTGTGATGGCACAGAAGATGAAGATGTGAACCAATCTTAAAAATGGCCCGGTCACCTACTATGCCTGCAATTATGCCAACCAATAATACCTAAGACTAAGTAAGCACCTGATAGGGTTAACTTAGTCTCCCTTTAAATGTCTAAAGAACTGTTAGTTTTGAATTTGAATTTGATCTCTGGTTGGTTATGTTTATCATTTGAAATGTACAGGTTTTGTACAGTTTGGTGCAATATTTCCTTAGATGTTCTGTAGATTTGTTCATTATTGTAAAGTCAGATTTAAGTAGATGGTTTTTAATAGTGTTGTATTGATACCAGTATCGGGCGGGGCCCAGATCCAGCACTAAAATGGTGGTATCTGTATAGGCAAGTACCAACGATACCATTTTGAGAGCTAAAAGTTTATTCAACTATTGTCACCCATTCCAGGTAGGCAATAAAACGTTCTACTGGATTCACTTTTTATTAGTCTTTTTCCTGCTTCACAAAGGTAGGCAGCAGCTTAACAAAGCCATGATGGCAATTATTTTACATCCAAGTAGTCTGATGTGTGTGTGTATATATGAAGAACTGCAATGTCAAACAGATGTAATCGGTATCAGGGCCAAAAAATGGTATCGGTGCAACACCAGTTTTTAAGTACTTTTGGACTTTTTAAGCCTTAAGGTAAAACTTACCTTTTTTTAAAAACTCAGTAGTGTTTTTTACTTGATTAAACTAAAGTGGAGCCACATATGGAGGTACTATTTCCATTTGAAAATCACCTTGACTCGTTAACAAATTTCTATCGCTGTTAGACATTTATCTTGTGCTTAAACAACCTTGGCAGCCTTCAATTGATCCACAACATCTGAGCCACAGCTTCAAGAATTTTATTCTTCTATTCCAGTCGAAAATGTCTTAAATAAGTTTCTTTTAAAGTGCCCTTGCAGACTGCAGTTCCCTTTTAAAACTTTTCTTTTATTATGTTGGAGCTTCCTGATGGTGGCTAACCCGCTTTGATGTCTGATGTCCTTTCCTCTTTCCTCCGCCGTCACTTCTCATCCCCTCCTTGTCAACTCATGGCAAGCTTTTCTTTCATTTTTGTGATTTGTTCTTAAGGTACTGGCGGGGATGAATGTGCACCCAGCTGAGTTTGACGGCCTTAAGCAGGAGTACAACGTCAAAGGCTATCCGACCTTCTGCTACTTTGAGTGAGTCGAGTCATCTCATTAGTTTCGTTTTGAGGCTATAGAACATCAGGGAGGAAGCTGCTTCTGAAAGAAATCCTTAAAAACAAACAGTATGAAGATGGCAGACATTTTTTTCTTTTTTACCCTGCAAACATAGCCTTCAAGTATTAATATTGCTTCCTGCAGAACAAGTGTGGATTTTTAGAAACTTTGTCCCTTTGTCAAAAAAAGATGCTCTTTGTAGTGAGCAAATAATATGGTTTGGTTCTTGGTGTTGTTTTGAAGCATCAGGTTGGACCATAGAGAGAGATGGTATGATATGACCAGGGAAGAAGGTTTCATTTATTTAATTTGAACCATTTCTGTGTTAAGCTTTGGAGACACAGCTCTGGTTTAGTGTCATTAGTATGGAGTCAGAAAGGGGTCAAAATGTTTGTAAACTTCTAAATCTTAGTTAAAACTGAAAAACTAGAAGTTGATATCTAAATCTCAAATTTCTACCTTATAATGAGAGAAACTAAAAAAGCAAACATAAAATAATAAGAATTGCATCTAAATCCAGTTTAGTATTTTAATTACACTTTTTCTTTTCTTTACTTTTTATTTATGTTTTCTGATTCAAATCCATCCATTTCAGTTTTTTTTCTTTCTTTTTTTTTTTAAGATTCAGATTGCTTTTTCAGTTTCAGGATTTTTTTTATTTTTTTTTTTTTACCTGTCTCGTCACAGTCATCTAAATCTAATGGAGAAAGCTTGCTTTTGCTTTTCTAGACTTTTGGGTGGTCATGTTGTACTTGCTTACTGAATGCCATGTGCGTAACTTGTAACTTACATAAAAAACGTGATGTAAGTCGTGCTGCCCAGCGCTAGGCTCTGGTGCTGCCCGAAACAGTTAAGAGAATCGTTAAGCAAGCTGCCAAACGGTGCCGTGGAATTGGAACACACAAAACCGGTTCTGAACAGGTACCGGTTTCCGATTCCCATCCCTACTTAGCAGTGAAATGAAAATGTATACTTCTTAAAGTGCAGCAGTGATCAAATGTCCCTTTCAATGTTGCATTCATGGACTGTGGGAACTCCAACTACTTGCTCAAGTAGTTGGAGTTCCCACAGTCCATGATCGCTCCAGTACTGCTGCAAGCTGTCAATCACATTTCCCCGCCCACTCCCGTCACATTGGGATCAAAGTCTGAATGTGAAAAAAACTGATTCGAAAGTGTGAAAAAAAAATCCTGAAACTGAAAAAGGAATTTAAAACTAAAAAAATAAATAATAGAAACTGAAAGAGATTTGAATCTGAAAATATAAAATCAAAAACTGCAGTAAAGAAAAGAAAAAAATAAATAAAAGAAAAAAGTTTCATTAAAATACTGAAGTAAATTATGAGTTTTTTTCAAGCTAAGGGGAAGAATTTATATTTAATTCTTATTATTTTATGTTTACTTTTTTAGTTACTCAGATAAGGTAAAAATTGGACATTCAATATCAACCTATATTTTTTCAGTTTCAACTAAGATGTATAAGTTTACAGACATTTTGACCCCTTTCTCACTCCATACATTAGATGCAAAAAAAAATGTGTATTATTTAGGGCTGCAACAATTAATTGGATTAATTTGTTCAATTATTAAAATAAGCATCAAGTAATTTATTATTCAATTAAGAGTAAATCACTCAGAACCATTATGAAAAATTGTAAAATGTATATAAGGACTTTGCATTTAAGATTAAATGTTTTTGTCTGTGAATAATTTGTGTCCAGAACTCTTTAACTGTATAAAATCTTTTTGCTTTCAGATCATTAAGCAATTAATCAAAGAAATGATCAACAGATTCATGCATAAACAAAATAATTGATAGTTGGAGTCCTAGTTTTATTTAAAACACAATAATTCAGAAAGGTTAAGGTCCTTTGGAAGAGAAATAGATAAAACAAAAACTAAAATACAAGGTATTTTGTTATATTTGCTTAATTAAAAGTCCATAGTGCAGATGATATTAAAGTGAAGGAATAATAAGGAGGAAGCATACAAAGAGTGATAGTTTAGGGTTATAGGAAATTGCAGTGTGCATCCTGAATACTCCCTAACTGTTGGATTACCAGGATGCCAGTGTGCTCTGTTTCTTATTTCTCCAGCTCCTGCTTTATCATCCCAATTTCCACATTAAACACTCTTTCATTCCAGTCTGGCCTTTTAATTAGGCCGGGACTGATTAAGTGCCTCTGTGGTTAGAAATTGCGTGTGCTCTTCCCTCCTTCCTGTACATCTCCGCATATCTCTATCATGCATTCGTGTGCCGAGGCACGTGCACACCCTTGCACTTGTTTATAGCCGTGCCAGTGCCAGTCTGTTAGCTGGAAGTGCATTAGTGTCTGAGCAAAGCTAGCTAATGACCATCCGAGTCCATTGGCTTCAATAATGAGTCCCTCACTGATAAACTGCTGCTAATCACAGCAGGGTAAATCAGCATCAACACCTTCAGTTATCTCACTGTAGCACTCACTGCAAGCCGAACTTTTTCAAGGTCTTCTAGTGTTTTCACTCCTGCTGTAGAAGGCGGCACTTTTCCCCAGAGTTTAGCCCAACTAAGTTATATTAAAGGGAAAAAAGTTCAACCTTTTTATCCTTGCTTTGTCCTCTTACAATGAAAAGCCGCTGAGACTGTCAGTCAGGCGTTTATATCCAAATTTCCTCAGCTTGGTTTTGCAAGGTTTTATTGTACTTTACAGCTGTAGAGATAAAACCTTGGAATATAGAGTTGGTCATAAATCTCACTGATTGAATTCCAAGCAGCCGCTCTCTCCTCCTGCATTCATCAGTTCACCTAGAAGCATGTTTTAAACCCCAAATCCCATTGAGTAAAATCGTGTATCACCTTTAATTATGTCTATTCTGTATATCAGGAGCTCTGACTGCAGTCATCATCGCCATCTGTGCTTGCAGAGCTGCAGGGACTGACACTGACCCGTCAGTTGGACGAGCTCCTCTGCCCACATTTAGTCGCAAATCTCACAATCTCTTTTACTTGGTGACAATAAAACAGTTTCAATCTAAATTTAAAGGCATTACAGGTGGCTGGAGGAAATGAGATGAGAAAAGCTCCCTGAATACACTTTCAAGCTTTGAACACAAAATATAATACAGTGGGAAGGACACTAATAATCATGTTAAGTCCTTTTTTTTTGATGCTCTCAGAAACTCTTTAATAAGAGCTGCTGACTAAAGGTTTTAACCTTGATCTTTGCCTTTTCTTTTTTTAAGCTGGAAGGTTTTGTGATCTGATCTTTTCTTTTTTCCACATGTTTAGTTATTTTTTATGCAGGTTCTAGAGAAAGATGAGGAACTAGAGTTTTGGCTTTAAAAAAAACACACCAGTTAAACAGTGCAGAACACTGAAAACTCTCAAGACTTATTTTTTATGCCTCAAAAGCATATTAGCACATTAATTTTCTTTATGATGAACATTTCATCTTTACAGCAGAGGTTAGGAACACTGAAGAACTGGCATGTTGGAACTTTGTGGTGGAGAAAAAGCATTGGCTTATTTTTTTCTTCTAATAGTTATTAATAGGAGCGCTATGCAAGGAATTTATTCCCCTTATAGCCCTTCCTCATGCAGAAAATACTCAACATGAAATAGGAACATATAGTAATCAGATTTTCTCTAACTTTATCAGCTGCAATGCTTAGACTTAGACTGACTTTAGTGTCTTTTTGTACACAGTGCATACACAAATAAATTTAATTCAGTACAGCTCTTAATACATTTTCATTTCTAAAGTGCAGCAGTGATAAAATGTAAGTAAGTAAATAAATATTAGATAAAATGTAATGCCAAAACTTTTTTTAAGTCAGGGGTTCACCGTTTGATTGGCTGGTTGATTTATCAGCCTCAGTTTAGGGAGATTGCTGATCAGTCGATACTTAGATGGGAAGTAGATCTTTTCAAAGGATATTAACTACGTCTATAAAGGTCTTTTTTGAGATCCCATAACAACTGATGTTGTGTTTTATTAAAATGGATTGTATCCATCCAACCAGCAATCAGTTCAACCTTATTGTCAGTTCTTGATTTTATTTTATTTTACATAGCATCTGTAAACTTAAAATAGTGATCTTCATGCAGCATAAATCAGCATTATTGTGAAGTGGAGGGAAGTTGATCTGCAGTTTTCGTTTATCAGCTGTTGTATATTTTTGGGGGATGAGATTTTCTTTTTTATATTCAACCATCAATCTTTACAGAAACTCTGACCAGCCTGGCTGTCCCTACAGGACAAAAGCAACCCCACAGCATCATGCTGCCATAACCATGTTTTATAATAGAGATGACTGTGTTAGTTTACTGCCACACACAGCATATTCGATTGGTTTCACACTTTACTGAACTCTTTCCAGCTTTTTAAGCCGGACTAAATAGTGCTCCGTGAGATGTTAATATTGGGAAGATTGCTTCATAAATGTTCCCTAAACTCCTGCACAAGTTCCCCTCTAACCTGGCTGTTATACTTGGACTTCATTATGCTTTTTTGGCTAATGTTCTCCAACTAACCAATAAGGCCTTTTCAGATTAGCTGCATTTATACTGAGATAAAAAAGAGCAATGAGAGCTATTTAGTAATTAGCTGATTTCTGCAGGCGGTTAGTTGAAATGGATTTTAATTAAGGGTATCGGTAAAGGGGGTGGACAAATGCTGATATATGCTAGACTCGTTTTTTTTTTTACAGAAATGAAAAAATAAGGAAACAGAACTGTTTTATCCCAAATACCTACAGCATACACTAAGGTCTGTTGTTGTAATGTGACTAAATGTGAAAAGGAAATATGATGTCTTCATCATACTGGGTTTCTTTACCAGAATCATTACTTGTTTCACTTAGAAAGATGGGAAGAAAAACTAAAATTCAGTCTTGAAAGTTTTGTTTTCAATGGCGTCAGAATTTGAATTTGGTTAAAAAACATAAAAATAAAAAATCTTCTACTACAAATATTTTCTCATTCCTATTCTGCCTCCATTCATTGGTAAGTTTCTTCCCTCCCTTGTGACCACAGGATGGTGATTAAATGTTGCAGGTTGAAGGTCTACCAGCAGCTCCCCTTAACAGATGAATCCACCTGTTGGCGTGTTATTTCTTTAGTCTTTTCATTTAAAACTAATCGTTAGGTTAGTTATTTAGCTGAAATCACCATCAACTAAGGATCCTTACAAGCTTTCAGATTTAAAGGCTGTAACAAACTTAATTTATCAACAGAAAGATGCTCCATTTCCTTTTTTTTTTTGTCTTATTTTTAATTTATTTATTACAAGTAAAATTTGTTCAGTTGGTGACTTAAAGTTAAATAGAGATCTTCTAATTTTTCAGGAAAGGAAAATTCCTTCATCACTATGAAAACTATGGAGCTACACCCAAGGACATAGCAGACTGGCTGAAGAAGTGAGTATGGTGCTTTTTTTAGTTGTGTTTTTTTTAAGAGTGGGTCCAGCTATAAGCCCATTATATCCATATGTTTTCCATCCTACCAATCTGATTAATGAAACCCAGCATTGGAGCCTCAGAGAGGAGGGCAGCTCCTCAAGGCTTTGTAGTATCACGTTGCCCCAACCTTTTGTTATCAGTCATCACCTTCGTTTCTGTGGTGTGATCTTCATCGCACCTTTCTTGCCTTGAATCCTCCTCACCTTGTCATGTTGTCATCAATCTGCACCTGCTTCCCCCTCGTCTCTTTTTTGCCACCTTGTCTCAACATCTCTGCCTAAAAGTCCCTTTCTTTGTCTGAAGGGTAAGCTATAGCACATTTCAGAGCTGCAACCAGAAGGTACAAATCAAGGCTTCACAGCTATAGCGAGAAGCAGTGTGAGTCTGACAGGTGGTGCATTCAAGCTGGCCTTTTCAGCCCTGGAAAAATAACTATTAGGTTTATAAAGATTGGTTTAAAATGGTGCAGTACACTGTAAGTCAGGTCAAGCTTTCATGTTCAACTATTTGATAATCCTACATATGGATATTCTGACTTGTGATCTGATTATGGAGGTCCTTTGTAGTCTGTATAAATCTAGTTTCTTCCAATCCTTGCTTCCTTTATTGCAATTTTCCATTTCTTATCTACTTCTTTCCTTCCTATATTTCCTACCTTGTCTTCTCCTTCTGTCTATTCTACCTCCCTACATGTGGAATGAGAAATGTGTTGGAAAAAGTTTCCATAATCTGTTAAGAATCACTTCACCTCTTTTTAACCCAAAGCCTATAATTGTCTCCATCACCGTTACATTGAGGACTTTGCAGATTAATTTACCGATGCTCACCTTTAAAATGAGATCATTATAAATATTCTTAATCCTTGGTAAAACTTGATCACATTTGTAGTTTGTCATCTCTAAGGATTTTTGTTTTGTTGTAGAGATGCAGAGTTTTTTTTATATAAGCAGTACTAAAAACCTTCACAGGATCTGTTCTTTTTTTTTGTTCCCCAGCTCTATTTTCAGTTTTTTTGTCCCAGTTACAGTTCTCAACTTTTGATTAAGTTTCACAAAACATCAGTTTCAGCAGTTTTGTCTTATCTTTTAACTTCCCTCTCCCTTTTGCTTTCTCTGCTTCCCTACTTGCACAAGTCATTGTCTTATGCAGGTAGAAACAACGGTTCAAGATAAGCTAACTCTAACAAGGTCACTGGCAAAAACTTCTGTAAACTATTGATTTTTGTTTTTCCTGCATCAAGTTTTAGACAAATAAAAAAAAGCCATTTAATGTTGTTTTAATATCCTGGAAAGCAAACTTATCATACTGTAAGTAAAGGCTTTTCTGATTAATACAAGTTGCTCTATTTACAAAAAAAAGACAATCTAATGCTAAACTATGCAGACACTCCATCTGCACTGATGAAAATTCCCTTCTGTAGGATGAGTGACTCCAACTGATGGCAGCTTGACCTACATTATGATAAATTTACGTTAAGGTCCTGGCCAAAGTATTTGTGTATTCTCAGTCCTAATGCAGTTAAATACTGATCTTCCTTCATCTAATCACACAAGCTGTATATAAGAAGAACATGTCCAGATCAACACAGATTGATTAAACACATGACAGGACGTTCATAAACCAATAAGTAAGGATTTCAGCTAAAAAGTAAAGAAAATTCTCTCTTATATGAACCAGCCCTCTTTAATTTGATTTCAGCATTTCAGGAATTTAAGATACAAGTTATTTTATGTTTGCCCAAATTAAATTGTTTGAACTGTATATGTCTTTACACCTGCTTCTGTAAATTCTAGCAGTTTTCCAATCGTACTGAAGACAAATATTAAACCAGCCATCTCATTAACATACGAAGCAAGAAATAAATACATGTGGAGACGTAAAAATTAATGTGGGAAGAAATAAATTAATGTATGAATACACATATGGGAGAAAATATACAATTAAAAAATAAATAGATAAATAACTCGAATAGAATGGAAAACCCCTTTATTGTCCCATGATGGGGGAATTGTGGTGTTTAAATAGTTAAATAAATGTTTTGGTCATTAAAAAGGCTAATTATTTAGGATTTTTCTCCTTTTCTCCATTCATATATGTATTTACAGGGTTTCCGTGGGTCATTTAAAATCTTTAAAAGTCATTAAATTATTATTTTTTAAATTAAGCCCTGAATTGGCATTAAAATTCATTAAACATGATTATTGGGGCATTTAAAATTCTTTATTTAAAAAAAAAAAAGTTTCTAAAAACAATTTCGTCAGATATATTGCAATATATTTGTGCAGAACTGCTTCCGGTTGATCGTACAGTTGTATGTTCAGAAAAATAGCTTGAGGCGGAGAAGAAGCTAGAGAATGGGGAAATGCTAACTTTGGGCTGGAGAACGAGGAATTCAGGACATGGCTGCATCCTGTCGATGGTAAAGATGATGAAGGATTTTGCCGTGTATATATGACAGTCATGGGTACTTGTTGATGGCCCTAAAATTATTTCTAAGAGCATTAAAAAGCATTAAATTAGAGTTGCTTATTCCTGTATAAACCCTGATTTATTTTTCTACGTATTTCTCTATTCATTTATAAAGTTATGTGTATTTATCTATTTATGTAAATTTTTTTCATACTTTTTCGTCCCTCATACTGAAAGTTTCAGACCCTTTCTTTGATAAATCAATGCGAATCATAACCATGCCTGTTTCAGAGGGTTCCAGTTCTTTTGTGAAATGTTTTTAAATTTGCTTAAGCTTAACGTTGATGCAGGTTAATCTTTGCTTTCTTTTTCTGAGGTTTATGAAGCCATTTTTCCATGCAGTGATCTCTCTGCATTAAATCTGGTGAAGGTTTTCAGGTTTTTGACTTTAAGAAAACAATACATCTACTTCCCGGAAAGTCTGCTTAACTTGGCTGGTTTCTCTGAAGAGGTTCTTTTCAACAAACTTTATAGATTTTACCATCTTGCAAAGTTGTTTACTTCAGCTGATACTGTGGCCCTTTTGCTGTAACTGAGCTCACTCAGTGAATCTCTTTTTCTCTGGATATAAAAAAAATATTTGCTTGTGCTTAAAGCTCCCAGGTTTTCTCTTTGATGGATTCGCTTTGTTTCTGCAGACTAATTACGGGCTGTTTCAGAGCTTGTTTGACTTTGTGCTGTGTCTAATGCAAATGTCACACTTGAAAATACCTCGAGACCTTTTTCTTGCTTAATTAGAGAATAATTAAAGTGGAAGCAGCCGCCATCTGAACACAAGACGCTTGGAGTTCAGTCGTATTTGTCAGTTCTAACCATGAAGAAGTTGCAGTTTCTCTGTAATTTTTCTGCTCATACGTTCCTTGTAACTGTTGAACTTGTTTAGTAAACAGTTAAAAATGCAGAACTTGACTCCAAATATTTAGATCCAGAATTATTGTCCAACAACCGAAGACGGAACTGAACGCCAGATGGATGACTTGGTCGAACTACACTTGAGAGCTTCAGCTCTTCTTTTGTTTATGCGTGTTTAACCGCCTCATGTTGCCGCATTGGCTGAAAGCTTCACTGCGTGGTTTCATAAAAAGCATCCATTTGTTTCTTTTAGAAATACTTTTCGTGTGTGTTTTTCTTCAGAGAGCATGTTGTCTAGTCTTGGCACTGCAGAGCTGAGCCCTGTCATCTAGGAGGGGCCGTGTCTTTGTGTGCATGCGTGCGTTTTGAGACATTTTGGGTGGAGTGTAGACTTCAGCTGTGTTTGATTAGTTTTTTTTTTTTTACATATGTGTATGTGTGTGTATTTTGCCCCTGCATAATAGAAGCTGGCTGTATTACATCCGTTTAATAAAAACGTGTGTCTCAGTTTCATGCTGTGTTCCCCTCATGTTCCAGCCCACAGCCCCCCCAGCCAAAGACTCCAGAGGTGCAGTGGTCGGAGACGGACTCGCCAGTCTTCCACCTGACCGATGAGTCCTTTGACAGCTTCCTGGAGGAACATCCTGCAGCCCTGATCATGTTCTACGCCCCCTGTGAGTAATAAAGCATGTGGGGAAAAAAAAGGAAAAGAGCACAGGCCATTAGTATCAACCTAATGCATCAAAATGGAAGCTAATTTAAAGGAAAATCTTTTACTTCATTACTTTTTCTTTTTGGTTGTACTTTGTAATATAGAACATTTATTGTGATATGCAGCTTTAATTTTAGGGTATTTAGTTATTGTTTAAAGACAGTTCAGTTCCATCTTCACTTCCCACAAATATACAAGATTAAACCTTTACTGACCAAGAAGGTTCGGGGTACATTGTCACAAAAACAATTCCTTCAGTGCGATATTATGTAAAAGCTTCATCTGCTAACACCAACTTTACTTTATCCTGATGTCCCTTTAAGGATGAAGAATGTTATTTTAGTGTTTGTTTTGTAACTGGGAAGTTTCTTGCAAAACTGGGACTTAATTACATTTCTAGTGTTTTTATTAACTTATGTTGCCGATCAACATGATTTTACTGAATTTCTAAACTTTAACATTAACTTGCAACCCAGAAAAACAACTGTTTATATGATCATTCCAGAAAGTCCGTTATAACATTAAAACGGGACCGTAAAGCATCTGCCATCGATATAATTTTTGGAATTTTTTTAATCAAGTTTGACAGTTTATTTGTTTTAAAGTATAACAGATACATATTCATATTACAATCACAGTTCAATGTTTAAGTCTCCGGATTTTATGAGTAAATAGTGAGGTCCTAACCTCATCTTTGGGAACTGCTGCCTCAAAGATGGCCTCATCACATTGTGTCCTACCAGTGTTTGGAAAATGGCTTAACAAAAGTAACTAGTTATAGTTACTTGTCCTAAAAAGTAACCGAGTGATTAACTCCATTAATGTCCAATCAGAGTAGGTACTTACTAGTCAAAGTAACTTAATAAGTAATCTTAAATCTTGATGGGTTTTTTTATGACTTTTGTGTTGTGAGAAGATTGAATGCAGCTTGCAGTTTAAATATTAAATTTAGAAAGTATATTTCTAGTTAACAAATAATATAAATAATTAATCCAAAATGCTACAGATCTGAAAACAGCTTTTTTGTGTGTGCGTGGTGGGACAAGTCATTTAATTCGCTCAGTTACAATAAATTTGTGAAGGTGTGATTATTATGTTTAGTGTTTATACTGACAGAGCAATAAAGCAAATTAAATGTTTAAGAATTTTTTAGGTATGCACATTGACAGGCTTTGTGGTTAAAAAAAAAATAGCAGTGACACTTAAATATAATGCTTTTCTAGCAGTTTAACAAATATTAAATATACCTTGGGGTTTTTATGTTTAAAAGGCAAAAATGGACAGAAATTACGATTTTACTCCTTATCGGTTTGTGTTCCAACCTTTTCGATGTTATCCGTCCATGTAATGTCTGTGAACATGAAATTTACAAACTCCAGAACTTTTAAACTACAGCTTTACTGAGTTAATCTATGTATTAATCAGCTCTAATCTGCCAAAGATTCAAGCTCTCAATTTCACTGCACAGCAAAATCAGACCATTATTATAGTTGCTTTATTCCCCTCTTGCTCTATTATGTGTTTTTGGAAAGTATTATAGCACATAAACAATGATGTTTATCCATACAAATAATGTTTATCCCCCTGTCCCTGCAAATAGATCCTATATCCCCCCATTAAGGGGTCCAGTCACACAATATGACTTTACAACTTTCTCAGAGTTGCTCACTCTGATCACAAACTAATGCTTTTTGATTAGATTTTAGCACCCTGTTGGCTTTTATTATTTCTGTGTTTAACTCTTTTTTTTTTGGTCCATTTGTCTGTGAACTTCAGTGTCTCAGACTTCAGTGTCAAGACTGTTATTTGCTATAAAAGGTTCGGCTGCATGCTGTCCAATAATAAAAATAGTAAAACAAATTGTTCTACATTAAAGTTGTAGGGA